GATCGTATGAGTGCCCTTGTCTTAGGTGTTGAGCTTTCAGTCTTTGCATGGCCCGGTAGTGGAGGGGTCCCGGGAAAATTGCCTGTATGGAAGACGAAAGTAGTCCGACTATCCTGGCCAGTAGTCTCAGAGGGACCGTGTCTCTCCGGAGGAAACGGCGTATCTCCTTCCGAATGTTCGTAATCTTCGACTTGGGGAGGCGTAGCGTGCATGTTACCGAATCTATCTCGAATCCGAGGAATTGAACGATTTTTGATGGAGAGAGCGATGACTTTTCTTTGTTCACAATGAAGCCTAAGGATTCCAGAAAGTGCACTATGAATTTCGTCTGAGATCGAAGTCTGGATGCGTCGTCGCAGAAAACCAGTATGTCGTCTAGGTAGATTAGGCATCGGATCCCTCTTGTCCGTAAATGTGCCATGGCCGGCTTCAGCAGTTTCGTGAAGCACCAAGGGGCGGAGCTGAGGCCAAATGGGAGGCACGTGAACTGGCATGTGCGTCCTTTCCAGTGAAATCGAAGGAAAGGTCGGCTGGTTTGTGCCATCGGAACCGACAGGTAGGCATCCTTTAAATCCAAGCGGGTGAACCAGTCGTGTTCCTGAAGCAAATCTCTGAGGAGATGTATGCCCTCCATTTTGAAGTGTCTGTAGGCTACGAATGAATTCAGACTGCGCAGGTTGATGATGGGTCGGTAGTCTCCCGTCTTTTTCTGGACCAAGAATATATTGCTGATGAAGCCCGTGTCGTCGGGAGCAAATTCGACTGCTCCCTTGAGAAACAGCGTTCGGACCTCGTCGTCTATGAGTTTGGTGAGTCCCGCCGACGTCCGTATTGGCTGTGGTCGACGTGCTTGGGTCGGTGTGTGCGCAAAATCGATCTCGTAACCGTTTGGAGGACCCAGGCGTCGGATAATATCTTTTCCCAATTCTGTGAAAAAAGAGACAGTCTGCCAGCAGTGACATGAGAAAGGCAAAACGGTACTTGAGGGGTGCTCACCTGTATTGAAGCGCCCGCGTCCGCGGGTACGAGCCCCTCTGGGTCGGAAAGATCCTCTCGAGAAAGGCGGCCTCGATGGGAAGAACGTTTGAGTCGTCTGACTCCTGGGGCCTGTTGGCCAGAAGCGGCTGGTGGCTCGGCCCCGATGGCGACCAGCCCTGCCGAAAACCCCTCTAGCTGGAGTGGTGTTGCGAAAAACCTGTTTAATTGAAGTTTGGGCTTTGCTCAGTGTCGTGAATAAATTCACATGCTTCTTTAACTCTCCAATGAAAGCTTCTCCAAATAGTTGGCCATTGGCCCGTGGCCCCAATTCCTTCTTGCCGAGTTCCAGGAGCTTGGAGTCCATCTTTAGCAATGCTGCCTTGCGTCTCTCCGCACAGAGTGCGGCGTTAGTGTTGCCCAACATGCAGATCGCGCGTTGCGCCCATTCCCTGATATCGTGGGCGTCCAGGACATTCCCCTGCGTGAGTGCCCCGTCTGCGAGGTACAAGATTTTGGCTAGTGGGCCAAGCATATCCAGTAACTTGTCTTGGGAGGCTTTGAGGCCCTTCTCAATGCCCTTACGCGGGTCACGGCCCGCCCGCCACATGAACAAGACCACAGTGGTATCGAATTCCGGCGTGTGTGCATGCTTGTCCGGTAGACTGGGTCTCGGGCACTCGGCCTTCAGTCTTGCGCGTACCTCTTTTCCATTGGCTGTCGTAGCCAGAAGTGGATAAATTGGGCTAAGTGGTCCGGTAGGCCCCATTCCGATGATCTCGGGTGATGTATCGTACGTGGATCAAACATGGGGTGCCTTGGGGGTCCACGAAAGTGCCGTACTCCAGGCTGTCCGCCTGCGTGCTGACCTTCCAGTGTCCCTGACGGGCGTCCTGGTCCTCGACCAGCTCAGACCCTGTGTGGCCGCGGGGCATGTCAAACCAGTCGTCCTCCTCAGATGGAGAGTCCCCCGCTCTCCACTCGTCCATAACCTCCAGCGGGGCTGGCGAATTACCTCCCTCCTCGTCGGAGGATGTCAGCGGAGGGGTTGAAGGGCCCTGGCGGTCCGTCTGGCGGCTCCTCTTTAGCGGGGCCTTGCCCTTCGTCTTCCGTGGGGTTGGGCCATTGCCCTTCCAATGCCTTTTGGAAGGGGCACTATCCCCCGAAGACTTCTCTGGGCCCTTAGTATCCGGGTCCCCAGTCGGGGTCTGGACCAACAATTTTGCTATGGTCTTCTCCATTGAGGCCGCCACCGCCGAATTAATTATTGCTTGAAAATCGGGTGGTGTTTGTTGCGATGGTTCGCTCATGTTCAAGGCCGTAGGTCTCTGTCTGTGGAAGACAGGATAGGGTCAGGTACCGAAGTACGTGAATAGTAAAGCCAGTAATATAGAATTGTGGCTTTCCTCCTACGACTGGGGGTCGCCCCGTGGGGCCAACGGATCCAACCAAATATCCTGTCTTGCTGTATATTACCACTGCCTGTAATCCTGGGCTAGCGAGGGGGTCACCCTCCAGAAGACCGGTATAAGCGGTCAGAAATAAGAATCAATTTGCCTAGGCCGTAGTGCCTGGTAATGGTACGGGACGTGCCCTTAAATTCAAAGCCCAGTGGAGGTTAATTAGGATAGATTTTGCCTCCTGTGAAGGAGGAGTGCGTGGGACACCCCAGTCGTAGTATGGAGGGCGCCGGCCATGCGTATCAGCGGTATATGGTAGGGGGGTCACCCTGCTCTTCCGATAATATGGCACACGCCTGGGGGTCACCCAGCGCAGGGGGGGTCACCCCTTCAACAACAATAAACAGTGTGCCAGTGGGGGGTCACCCCACTCAGAGGGGTCACCTCTGGAAGAGTTTTTTTTTAATTTTTTTATTTATATACAGTCTTCTAATAATAACAGGCAGGGTTGTGTTAGTTGTTCCTTGGGTTAGCTCCTATAACCCGGCGTTCAGCAGGTTAATAACAGGTTATATGTGTCCTTTAATTCCACACTGACAAGTCTGTAAGACCAAGGAAAGTAAATGGTAGACAAGAAAACCTCCTCCCCAGGCCCCCTGCCACTATTGAGGGGACCTGGCAGGCTGAGGGTAATAGGAGTGGGGACGAGGACGAAAAACCGTGTGATTCACGGTTTTCCCCACCTAAGATGGCCGACTTGGATCTCGCGAGCAGCGAGATCCAAGATGGCCGCCGTTCGCGCCAAAAAAATAAGCGCGGCCCGTGATCGCGTTGTGAGAGCCGCGATCACAGGCCGCCAGAGAAAGGAGTCCCCCGCTCCCTCCCGCCTGCCCTGAACCGTCCGGTCAGAAAAGAGGTCGTGACCGCGGTAACTAGCCGCGACCGCGGCAGTTTATAGCCGCGATCGCGGCAAAGAGCCGTGATCACAAGGTTACAGGGGCAGCCACAAATGATGGGGGGGGGGGGAAAGGGGAGACTAACAAAACAATATTAGAGTAATAAATAAGGACAATAAAACAATAAGAAATAAACCAAGTCAGCTAGTAACCTCAACTAATAACCATGAGCAATTAAAGCAATAGTAACAATAAGCAGAATAGTATAAATCACAGGAAAATATCACTCTGACCTGTGCCTTTGGCTGGAAGCAGCAAAGAAAGAGGAAATGGGAAGCCTGTCAGAGACTTATATAGAGGAGGCGCTGGACTCTGATTGGTTAAATACTTTTTCTTTCTGATTGATTGACTTGTGCTGCTGGAGGCATAAAGTAAAGAAAGTTTATGCAAAATAGGAAGCCTCCTGTCATGTGATAAAATTATTTGTACTTAATGGTTCCCGCTAAGCTCAAACCACTTCCTCTTATTTAACTTGTTATAGTGCCAAGACTCTGGCCCTGCATTCATTCTTTTTGACAATGTTGAGTTCTGGAGATACATTTATATATATATTCTTTTCTGGATGCAGGTTTGCCCCCTCAGTTGTCACTCGGCCAGCTTGAATACTCTGTTCCAGCCTGACAATGTCAGTTTTATACAATGTTTGCATCTGGTTTTGGCACACATAGTGTGCTAATCCCAGGCCCCTTGGAAAGGCTACCCATGTCTGGATGAGTACACAAATAGCTCCTGTTGCTTGGCTCTACAGCAGTAATACTCTCAAACTGACTGATTTAAAAACAAAAACAGGAATTGGTTTTACTTCTGCAGAGCTCACAAAATAAAACCAAACACAAGCAGTTATTGGGTAATGTACGTCCTATCGATGTGAGCACAAGACATTGAGTGCCACTGCTGCATTACATCTATCATGCTCAGTGAGATTTTGTCTTAGACTGTTGGGAGTTAACATATACATCAGATGTAACGGGAACATAAGGGACTTTATGTGATTTCTAACTCCAAACAACCTCATCCAACGGTTGGCTGAGCCTAATAAGAATATTAGTCAACAAAGCTTTATCTAGCATGTCACAATTTTAATGGACACACAAGAAAATATCTGTAAAAATGGTACCAAATACATCCCCAAAATAGTACATTTAATGAAACCACCCATCTCCTTGAGAACTGGAGATTTGTCCTCTATGCTTCTCTGTGAGACAATGCCCTACACCACAGATTGGCAACTTTGGTACTCCAGATATTGTGGACTACATCGCCTCCGATTGTTGTGGTAGCTTTTCTTCTTTTAAATATAGTCTCCTTTTACTGTATTGATTCCCTTTATGAAACATTTAAATACATTAAGGGAATCAACACAGTAAAGGAGGAGACTATATTTAAAAGAAGGAGAACTACCACAACAAGAGGACATAATCTTAAATTAGAGGGACAAAGGTTTAAAAATAATATCAGGAAGTATTACTTTACTGAGAGGGTAGTGGATGTCACTGAAGAACTCTCCTTAAGACTTAATGTAATCCGTTAAAAGTCTGGTCTGATGATTTATTATAATTAGGGATTATTCTAGCCCTGGTGACTGAATAATCTAAATTTTATTAACGACAGGAGGCGAATATTTGCTTATCTTTCTTTACTGAACCTCCCAGCAGCAAAGAAACAGTTAACAATAGTGTAAAACAATTCAATCAATCAGAGTGTATAACAGTATTATAAGATGTCATGAAGCTCCTCCCAAATCCTCTTTCTTGCTGTAGCCGACGGCACCCGATTATCAACCATGTAAACCATAACTATGAACTGTGGACGGAGCCGGAGTCCTGATGTAGTCAACCATGTAAACTTTCGATGGGTTGGTAGATCCATAAATCCCAAGCGTTGGGGTTCTTCACACTAAAGGGAAGTAGAGAAAAAACTATGAGAGTATAGGTTCTCATACTGGTTGAATGCAAGTCTATGGCAAGCATACTGGGAATAACAATTTCAAAACATTTCATGTAAAATGATATTAAATATATCCAATTCCTGGTTAGAGTGTTGTGTTATAAACCTATGGCAGATGATGTGTGAGTGTGTCTGAAACAGATCGACTAGGGACGAATACCTAGCAACTTACCTTGGGGTGGGTAGAAATAATACTGAAGACAAGAAGGGAGGGAAAATATTCGCCTCCTGTCGTTAATAAAATTTAGATTATTCAGTCACCAGGGCTAGAATAATCCCTAATTTTATGGCTTCATATTTGCTGTTTTAACGCTCCTATATTATAGAAGATGCAGCATGTGGCATAGGTTTGAAGTAGAATGTACGAAAGGTAGACTCCCTGGACCAATCCACAGATGACAGAATGTCTGAGAGGGAGCTACCCGCACGAAACACTGAGGATGCGGCTGCTCCTCTGACTGAATGCGCACCAAAAGAGGAGTCAATGTCTGCTTGGGCTAGTATCCATCTGATCCACCGCTCGACTGTGGGAGCGGACTCCGGTTTGTGTGGTTTGACATAGGACACGAGAAGGGGTCCTGTAGGAGGATGCAAAACGGTTGTGGCAGCTATATAGTGCCTTAAGCAGAGTGCCACATAGAGTGGCTGTCTATTCGGAAAGTAAGGGTAAAAAACGGCGGCAGAATTGGTCTTTGTTCGCCTAGTGATGTGAAATCTAACGCCTTCCGGCGAGAAGGCTATAGCATGAAAATCAAATGCTCGAATGACGGAGACCCTACGGAAGGATACCAGACATAGAAGTAGGCCAGTTTGGCAGAGAGTTGACGTAACGTCAAATTCTCATTAGAGGGCCAGGATTCTAAAAGGGAAAAAACCTGAGCGACATCCCAGAAATTGGAATATTTAGGAAGAGGGGGTCTGGCTAGCCTGATCCCTTGTAAAAGTCTACAGACTGAAGGATGTTTGCCTATTGATGCATTGTCAATAGGGTTGTGGGCTGCAGAAATAGCTGATCGAAAAACATTAATTGATCTATAGGACTTGCCTTGGTCAAATAAGGTAGATAGAAAGTTTAGGATAATCGTCAGAGGTGCTGAAAAGGGATCGGTATCCCTTTCCAAACACCAGCTGACCCATGTTCGCCATGCAACGAGGTAAGCTTGTCTAGTGCCTGGGGCCCAGGAGTCCCATAGGAGAGTCTGAGCTGTCTCCGAAAGTCCCGAGACATTCCAGGATCCCCTGAAACGGTCCAAGCTACAAGCTGGAGCCGCCCTTGAAGGGCGAGTGGGTGACAATGTCGGGGGATCGAGGTAGTAGAATTGGGCAATTCACAGACATTTCTAGCAGGGTTGGAAACCAAGTCTGTGCTCTCCATAACGGGGTGACAATAACTATTGACACTACTAAAGCTTTGACACGGTAAAGGGTGCGTTGGATCATGGAGAAAGGCGGGAACGCATAAGCTCCTGTCTCTGGCCACGGATGTAGAAAGGCATCGACTGCCCAGGACAGGGGGTCTGGAAGCCAGCTGATAAAGGCCTCCGTCTGGCGATTCAGTCGAGATGCAAACAGGTCCAGTGTGAGGGGCCCGTGAAGACAAAGAATTTGATAGAACAAGCGGGGGTCCAATTGCCAGTCGCTTACATCTCTCCAATGGCAAGAGAACCAGTCTGCGACTAGGTTGTCTGTGTCTGGGAGATATTCCGCTCTGATGGCTAAATTCCGCTCTAGGCAGAATTGGTAGAGTTCCTTGGTAAGGTCGGACAGTAGTCCCCCAGTGGACCTGTCGGCGCACGTGGCTCCCCATAACAGGAAACTGGCATCGGATTCCAAAATGAAGTCTGGTTGCGATCCGAAAATGGCTTTGCCATTCCAGGCTTCCATGTTGTGAAGCCACCAGTGAAGTTCTATCCGAACTTCGTCTGTTAGGTAGATGTATTGATCGTAGGAGGTGGAGCGGTGTAGGTAGTATGTCTTGAGCCGTTGCATGGCTCGGTAATGCAGAGGTCCCGGGTAAATGGCTTGAATAGAGGCGGACAGTAGGCCTATAGTATGGGCCAGATTGCGTAGACGAATCTGGTGGGCTGATAGCAGTTTGCGAATATCTTTTTTTATAGATTTGACCTTTGCGGAGGGTAGTTGTAAAATCGCCTGTACGGAATCTATCAGAAATCCGAGAAACTGAACCTTCTGAGAAGGGTTCAGTGCTGATTTCTGAAAATTGATCACAAACCCTAGGTTTTGTAGTAAGGCCGTCGTCATGTCTGTGTGTTTGCGTAGAAGATTTGAGTCTTGAGCCATTATCAGGATGTCGTCCAAATATATAATGGACTGAATCCCCTGTGATCGGAGCAATGCCATCACTGGTTTCATCAGTTTTGTGAAACACCATGGTGCGGAGCAAAGACCGAACGGCAGGCATGTGAACTGCCAGATTTCTTCCTGCCAGAGAAACTGAAGGAAAACCCGATGGTTGCGGGCGACCGGGACTGTGAGATATGCGTCTTTGAGATTGAATCTGGAGAACCAATCTCCCACGCAAAGGAGGTCCCTGGGTAGATGGATGCCCTCCATCTTAAAATGACGATACCTGACAAAGTGATTCAGGTCTTTCAAACTGATAATTGGGCGTAGGTCTCCAGTTTTTTTGTGGACCAGGAAAATGTTGCTGAGAAAGGTATGTGGGAACGGGGATTTCTCTATTGCCCCTTTTTTTAGTAATTTGTGCAACTCTGTTTGCAGTGTCAGGTTGTCTGATGCAGACATATGCATTGGTGTAGGTGGTGTGTCTTGGAAGGGAGTGGAAAGAAAATCTATTGTGAACCCTTGGACTGTGTGTAGGATCCATAGGTCTTGTGAAAGCAATTCCCATTGTTGGAAAAAATGGGTTAAACGGCCTGCAATAGGTACATTTGAAAAAGGAAGGTTTATTATCTGAAGCAGTGCGTCCGCGTAAGGAGGCAGATCCACGTCCCCGGATAGATCCTCTATTGTTGAATAACTGCCTGTGGTAGGGTCGGGGTTGTCCCGAGTGCCAATAATTTTCTGAAGGGCGAGGCCTGTAGCCTGTGAAGGCAATTCTGCTGTTCGTTCGGCCTCGAAAACGTCCAGCTCTCCCAGAAAAACGACCTGACTGGGGACGAAAAACCCTGCAAGGAGGATTGGGCCTTATTTAGGGTAGTGAATACCGCTACATGTTTGGAGAGATCCCTCATAAACGAATCGCCAAACATCAGACCATTGGCCTCTGGTCCTAGTTCCCGGGAGCTCAGATCAGCTAATTTAGCATCTAGTTTGTATAATGCCGCCCTGCGTCTCTCAGTGGACATAGCCACGTTTGCGTTGCCTAGAAAACATAAGGCTCTCTGGGCCCACTCTCTGACTGTGTTGGGGTCAAATTCGCCACTAGTTATGGCTTCGTCAGCTAGAATGAAAATCTGAATGATTGGACCAGCAATGTCCAGGAGTTTATCTTGGGCTGTCTTAAGACCCTGCTCAATGCCTTTGCGGGGATCTTTCCCCGTCTTAGTGAGGAATGTCACAAATAGAGGGTCAAACTCTGGTGTGAGGGCCACTTTGTTTGGAATGGTTGGTCGAGGGCACTCGGCTCTGAGTTTCGCCCTGATGTCTTTTTCAAGTGGTTTACGTAACCACATTCTGCAAAATTTTGAAATATGGTCCGGTGGGGCCCATTCGGCCGACCGTGGATGCCTGATGACCCTGGGGTCGAAGAAAGGGACACCCGAAGCATCCAGAAGGATGTCTGAATCGGGTCCCTTCTGCATAGTTACTTTTGTATCTGATTCCTTTTGTGAAATGAAAGTCTCCTTGACAAACTCTGATGGGGTATCCTCTAGCACATTCGCCAAAGGGTCTTTATCAGAATAATCAAGGCAATAAACCTCAACCCTATTGCCCCTGTGGGAGGTAGAGCCCTCTAAGGGATCGGAGATGGCGTGGGCGGGGTGAATGACAGTCAATTTTAGGGACTTGGCAGGAGCCTTACCCTTGCCCGCAGACCTACTATCCCCTTTCCAAGGGCGCTTACGTGTGGTCTCCTGATCCGAGGGTTGAGAATCCTCGGAGTCAGAAGGCAAGCGTGCGGTAGGATTGACTTCGGCAGAAGTCTTCTCATGAAAGGCGGCTAACGCCTTGGGAATGGATTCGGCAATGGTTGAGACCAGCCAAGCTCTAAGTTCTTGGGAGATTGCGGGCTCTGTATTATCAGACATGGTATGTCCTAAGTGGTCTGACTTATAGTCAATTGCTAAGGAAATAAGTAATAAGTGGGGATCACCCGATAGTATCAAGCGAAATTTATAAATGGGGGTCGACCAAAATATTTTGTAGATAATAGGTAAAGGGTGGCATATAATATTTAGTGGGGTAACCACTAAAATAGACAAGTGGATTGTACCACTATAACAACAGTGAGTGATATTCGTCACTCAATTTACTTAGACAGGTGGTTATGTCCTGTAATATATGGGATCACTTTGTGTTTCCTTATGTGTAGAAGTGGGGTTCACCCACTGTAAAGGTGATGCATAGGCACCTTATAACTGAGGAATGAATAAAAGGTGGGGGTCACCCACAATAAGCACTCATTAAATAAAGTGAGAGATAATAAAGGTGGGGGTCACCCACAAGGCCTTCCTTTATTAGTAATAGTTACAGCAGGAATTTTCCAACTGACAGTCTGTCAAAGGAAAAAACAAATAAACAAAATAAATAATTGAAACAGGAGTTAGCACTTTAAGGGTGCTATGAACAACGGAAAATTAAGGTACTTACCAGATTCAGCGTTAGGGGGAGCGAGCGTGCCGAAAGCGAAGAAAGACCGCGATCTAAGATGGCCGCCGCTGCAAAAGGGCGGGAAGACGCGCGTCTGTATGAGTGACAGACGCGGGAGGGCGGGGAGGCGAAAGGGCGCGAAAAGGTGAGCCGCGGACTCCTGGGAAATGGAGTCCGCGGCACTGAGGAAGCAGAGGCTTATTGCCTCGATCTCCCCAGAATCGCGGGAAAAACCGCGGCCGCAAATGTAAAGAGAGACACAAAGTATTGTGAAAAAAATCGCGGAGGCAAGCCTCCGGCAAATTAAAGAGACATGAATAAAATAAAATGTAGGAAATTATTCACTATAACATGTAAGTGTAAGCAGTGGTTTGATGAAATCATTGTGATAAACTATATGAACCTGAGTGTTGGTTACCAGAGGAAAAGTTTATCCAAGATGTGAAAAGAATGTGTGATGCTAAAACTACAAATTTAGCAAAGAAAATATTGAAATATTGTATTATAGGCAGAGTGATATAGCAGTATAATTGGAATAGACTCACCTGGGAGGCGAGCAGCAAAGAAAGAGGAGTTGGGAGGAGCTTAATGACATCATATAATACTGTTATACACTCTGATTGGTTGGTTGAATTGTTTTACACTACTGTTAACCATTTATTTGCTGCTGGGAGGTTCAGTAAAGACAGATAAGCAAATATGAAGCCTCCTGTCTTGCCATAAAATAAAAAGCCATTGGAGACGATTCTTCAGAAGAGCTTCTGTGAGAAATGCCATTCTGGGACCTTATTGGGTGAAGACAGGCCATGGGCGGCGTGGGAGAAATTTTGAATAAAATCACGTTTTTAATGCGATCGTAGGGGACTTGGTCATTAAAGAGCCACTCCAGGATTAAAGTGATTCTATAAAGTAACTGTCATTTTTTCCGTTTTTTAATTCACTTTTAACCCAATATTTCCATTTTTAAATCCTGGATTAAGAGAACAATCTTCAGTGTGTGCATTGATAATGCCATCTTATTAGCCATTTAAATTCCTGGGGATGATCGCATCTACTTCAAAGACACTGGGTGCTTGGTGTTAGTGTGGAGGCTTAGCTGGGCAGATATAGACCATTCTCTACAGCTCTCTGTTCCGATACTGATCACTTGTATCATGTCTGCTGATCAGAGGAGTGAGTTTGTCCCTTCTGTAGCCCCTTCTTCGTCCTCGCTAAGGAGTAAGATTACTCTCATCCACAGCAAGATGTCTAATAAGGGCAAAATACAATCTTCGTTAGAAGACTATGGAAGCATTTGTGAAAACTGCAGGTAAGCAACAAAAATATATATTAATTCTTTTTGGTAGTTACACATTGGTTTTAATTAATTTTCGTACCACCATAGATTTAACGTGGGATTTTTTAAAATTCATTAGCATTCATGGTTTTTCTTTATACACAAATTATCTATTTTAAACAAATATTGCAATGTAGGATTTGTTCACTAAACACTAAACATTGAATTGCAACATTTGGTGAAAAACTCTGATTTAGAAATTTTCTTCAACTGGGCTATGGTCGCTCGTTATTTTAGCCTAAATCTTTTATTTCCATTTTAATTCACTGCCATTTGGTGTTTAGTGAAGCAGTATTTGCCTGTTGCATATTAAAGTTTGTCAAATAAATACAGAGACAACACAAAAATACCACTGTTTCCAATTAGTACAGTTACTGATCATTAAAAAAAAAAAAAATGTTTAGAATTACAGCTAAATGAATTCCCCTGTTTCCATTGATTGGGTAGAATTCATTACAATGTATTTTCATGGAGCATTTTCAGCTTAAATTTATAATTGCTAAAATATTTTATTTGACTTAATAATAGATAACTTATTTCATTAAAATAATGTCTGCTTTTTTATTTCATTTAAATGACGAACATTTTCAAAGCTTTTTTCAATAGCGTAATAAGATTTTCAAAAGTTATTCACAGATTTGATAACAGAGTAGTGAGCAATAGAGTAAAAATGAATATGTAGTAAAAAAAATATATATATATTATTGTTATGTATATAGTTTTCAGTACACTGATTGGCCAATTTCACACCATTTAAGTTTGTCCAAATCGGTTTTCCTGAAATTATTGCATGGCCGAAATTTGTCTGAACTGAAAGGCAACATAGACGAAACACAGATGAAATTTTGTGTCAGAATTACAGAACTGAAAATACTGAAAACTTAGAAAAAAATTCCAATTTGACTATTGTAGGATGAAATATTTCAAATTCACGTGTAATTTGTTCATGCCAGCTGAAAAGCATTTGTGCACAAGTCTTGAAGAAACGAACACAAATCCTACATTTTGGAAATAAGCCATCACGCCTTAAGAACAATATTAAAATTCAGTGTCAATAAGTGGCACTGATTTACAAAACCTGTAGTTCAAAACAAAAAAAACAATTAGTATTTGTAATTGAATTAAGTGGTGGAAAAATGTTTGCTAAAACTTACACCATTTTGGAGAGATAATTACATTATAAATGTAATGTAGGAAACAACCTTTCTATATCTCAAACGATGAACCAGCTATCAAGAGATCAACATTGCTTTGAAACTTATATTAGTATTGTGAAAACTAGGAAATAAATATTGTATAAGAATTATAAACAAATTCACTGAATGCAAAGAAAAAAATATTTACCAATAAAAATAATTGCAAATAAATTACTTCTTTTCTGAATGTATTTAAAAATGCTTGATATATTAGTGACAGACAGTGATGTTTTCTGTTTCATATTTAATGAGTTTAGATTGTGACATTTAGTTCTGGGGCATATAGCCGGTCCCTGCAGGCTGAGCAGTGGAAATGTTTTCAGAAAAGGCAGCGTGTACAGTGTGGACTAACCCCTCCTCTAGTGGCTGTCAATCTGACAGTTGCTGGAGGCACTTCCTGGGTTGGGTCCTGCATGGACTCCATTCATCTGTATCAGGAGATGCTGATGCTTGATGATCTCAGCCAATGAGGCGGCCACGATGACATCAGCGTAGTGAGAGCTAAAGGTAATAAATCTATCTATTTCTTTGAATAATAATTGTTTATTATTCATTTTTACTAGTGGTTATCCCCCTGTACTTAGTGTACCCTGGCTGTATCAGAGTAGTTTTCTATCTATTTCTTTGGTTCCGTGAACTGCAGGAATCTTATAGTCACTAGAACACTATAGCATTAGAAATAAATATTTGTACTTTTTGCTATAGAGTTCCTGTAAGAAAATGATTTATATTTTCCTGTTAGCAAAGTGCGGTGGAGGGAGAGACCTTTAGTAGCAGAGATTCCTTCTGAATCCCCCTTTATCCTACCAAGGATGGATTGATGGGGAGCACATAATTCTTGCCTTCAACAATCTTATTATTACACCAATGAATATTAAAATGTTTCATTATATTTAGTATGGTAGTCTGTGGAATATTTATGTATGGCTGTTGGTTGTTGCTGTTTACTTACACATTCTAGCTATCACATGATATTATCACTTGTTAACATTGTATCCCAGGTGTTGCCCTCCATCCAAGGTCAGACTCAGTCGCACAGTTAGAAGGATTCTGGCCGCCTGCTTAGTTTCGTTAGTCACTCTTCTGGGGTCAGTCTCCATTGACTTAAGTGACTGTGTGAAAGATTGGAAAAACACAGAAAACGTTCTTCATGGATTTTCTTCTTGCACCAATCTTTTGGCAATGAAATTCATTGGATTCCTTCAACACCAAAGGACGTTTTACCGCTGGGAAGCAACGAACTCTACTGACAGTAGAGCCTTACTGATTGACAACGTGCTTTCATTCTGCAAGGAGTCTCAGGAATTGCAGTACCATAACAGCAAATGTGAAAATGTGGCCAACATTAATCACACGTGCATTTTATATACCCAGAAATTAATTAATAGATTGGATAATATCTCTGCAACAGTTACATTTAGTGACTTACTTTCATGGACGATAAACGAGATATTAGATGAGCTGAGTCAGCCAGAAGACGATATCAAGACTGCTATGAAAAACTCTGATTGGATGGATGTGTCATCATTGCGTCTATTGCTCAGAGCGTCTGAAATCATCAGCAAGGTGGTACATTCTTCACCGATGACTTCTGACAAAGTTCATAATGTATCTTATCAGGTACTTACTATGCTAAACTATGCAATCTATACATCAGACACTATGTATAGGTGTTGGATAGAAAATATGCATTATAATGCAGAGTGGATATACCTATCGGAATACCAAAACATGCCACTCTTTGCCCCATTTGGTGGTCCTGTCTCGATGTTTTGGAACCAAACTGTGGCCAGTCACTTGGATTCTGTTCGAGATTGTTTACATCACAAGGGTTTTGAAAAGATCAACAATAAAGCAAAAGAAATTTTGTCTATCGTCAGCCTCAAGGTTACCCTTGTAGCTGTGACTTGTCTGCTCTACCCGATCGTCCTTGTGTCATTCAAACAGATGACCGAGTGGATACAAAACTACGCCACTAGCCTTAGGGAGAGGACAGAGGATCTCAAGAAAGAGAGGCGTCTTGCCGAGGATCTGCTGCACCAGATGTTACCCAAAACTGTGGCCAAACAGCTGAGAAAACACAAGAAGGTTGAGGCCGAGAGCTATGACCAAGTAGGTGGATTAATGTGTGTAGTAATCGGG